TATGTATATGTATATGTATATGTATATGTATATGTATATGTATATGTATATACCAAGAAAAGTATACACACACACACACACACATACACACATATGCTTTCTTATGTTTTCACGGGTATTTATATGTATGGTATTTAGGTTTCTTCGGGTATTTTCCCACGTCTTAATATTTGTGCTTTTATTATAGCGACGATTCGGCAGAATCTCATCTGCCATCCTCAGGCTTGTGTGTTGGGTTCTTTTTAATCTTGTGTGTCAGGCTTAGCAGCCATTTTTTGTTTGAATTTGGTGCTGGATTTCTGCTTTATTTGAATGATTTTTTTCCTCATCTTGATTGGCTGGGAGTCTAGGTCTGTTTATATTGGTCTTCGAGTTGCTGTGTTCTTGATTGGTTGGCAACATTGTGTTTTGTGCATTGGGGTTTCTAAGTGCAGCTTGGTTTCTTGTGAATGGCCGATAATTATTTATTAGGAAGCTAGGTTTTATTTGGGTAGCTGGCTGGGGTGTGTTTGGGTTGGAGGTATGGGTGGGGGGGTCTGTTTGTGTCCAGGTGCTTGCCTGGATTGTGGTATAGAGAATTTTTTGTTTGTGAGTGCAGGCTTCCAGATAATTGATAGTCTGGTGGAGTCATCTCTTCTATTCATACTATTAGGTCTTTTATCAATTTCTATGGCTTCTCTGATGATTCTGTAGCCGGGGTTTTCTATAGTAGCTAGGGTTTTGGTGCCACTGAAGTCGATGCTATGACCTGTGGCTTTCATAGTCCAACATATGTACCTTCTACGTAGAACTGAGCACTGCTCTTATCATCCACGGCATTGCAGGTGTAAATCCCCTCATCCTCAAACTCGGTCTCATTGATGATAAGTTTCCGGTAGGTCCCATCGCTCACCATCTCATACTTCTGGCCGGGATGGAGTTCTTGGTCTCCCTTGAACCACTTAACGATGGCATTTGGACGAGAAACTTGGCATTCCATAAAACCTCGGTGTCTTTCTATGGCTATCTTCACCCGTAGGGGTTTAATGATCTTGACCGGTAGTTCTGAAGGAAGAGAACAGAAGAAGGTCGTTGATGTAACTTGGCAGAGAATTCAATGTGGATAATACAGATAGTTCTCTCATTCATTTAATGATTGTTATAAGTTACAACGGCACTGAAAAAAGTGACTTATGACCATTTTTATGAGCCACGGTGGTGCAGTGATTAGACTGCAGTACTACTGACTGCTGGCTGCCTGCAATTTGGCAGTTCAAATCTCACCAGGCTCAGGGTTGACTCAGCCTTCCATCCTTCCGAGGTGGGTAAAATGAGGACCCAGGTTGTTGGGGCCAAGAGGCTGACTCTGTAAACTGCTTAGAGAGGGCTGTAAAGCACTGTAAAGCGGTATATCAGTCTAAGTGTTATTGTTGTTGCTATTTTTCACATTGACAACCATCGCAACATCGCCATGATCACGTGATTCAGATGCTTGGCAACTGACACGTATTTATGATAGTTGCACGGAGTCACGCGATCCCCTCTTGCGACCTTCTGCAAGCAAATTCAATGGGAAATACAGATTCTCTTAACAACTGTGGTAAGAAAGTTCGTAAAATGTGATAGCAACTGTCTTGCTCTACAACAGAAGTTTTGGGGTCAGTTGTGGTCGTAAGGCAAGGACTATTTGTAGATAGTTTGAAAATACACTTTTCGAAAAAAAATTCACTGAATTATGAAGTCACTCCTTACCTTTGACTTTAAGTTGAGCTTGAGATTCTGCAGTTTCGGCCACAAATTTTATTTCTGCGGAATCCTGCAACTCCACACTGCGGTAAACCAGTGTGTGACTTTTCCCTGCACACAGAAAGACAGTCTCCAAGTTACAGGTCATCCATGATTCATCCATCAAACAAGTAAAAGTCATCTACATTAAGACAAAAGCTTGCCACTCACTTTGGCAGAACCCTCTCCCCATTTAAGGAACTGCCAAGATTACAGAATAAACAGAGTTGGAAGGGACCTTGAAGGTCTTATTGTACAAACAATCGAGCAGAAAACAATAATACCCTGATCAAGGAACTATCAAGAAAAAAAAACCCTACACCTGACCAACACTGGTCATTTTATTTACAGCAAGCAGCCATAGATAAAAAGAGAGCAAACCTCACATGGATTGACGTTACCTAGTTGACTCATGCAATGTCTGCAAACAAACAACCAAGCTCAGAAACCACCACTTTTCAATTCTCTTCTTCCTACCTTCTTGACGTAATTTGATGTTCTCTCCAGCCCGGATTTTGTTTTCGTTACTGAACCACTGCGTTTGGACGTCGTCGTGCGAAATCTCGCAAAGGAAAGAAGCGCTTTCTTTTTCGTTCACTTCAACATCTTCCAATGGTTTTATAATCTTGATGTCCCGGGCTAAGGAATCAAAATGAGACATTTTTTTTATTAAAGTTATGGAGTTTGTGTTTCTTGCAATCATTAATGTGCATTGGGGAATTATTCACAGTTTTATTTTATATATTAGTAGAAAAAAATTCCTGGTGTAATAGTAAGATGTGGATCTTGAGGTTTAGTTAGATGGCCACCAGGAAGGACAGATAAATTGCTACGTTTATGTTTGAATATGGACTTATTATATCACTACAAGTAGTCCTCAACTTATGACCACAATTGAGCCCAAAATTTCTATTTCTAACTGAGGCAGCTGTTAAATGAGTTGCACCTCTTTTTATGACCTTTTTGCCACAGTTGTTGAGTGAAACTATAATTCTTATTTGAATCATATAATCGTTAAATGAATCCAGCTTCCCTCATTGACTTTGCTTGTTAAAAACAAGCTGGAAAGCTGATTCATTTAACAACAATGGCAAGATTGTAAAATCAGGCACAGCTCATTTAACAACCACCATATTTAGCAATGGATTTATGTTCCCAATTGTGGTCATAAGTCAAGGACTACCTGTATTCACTGATTGCTTCAAAAAATGTTGGAATGGAACAGGCTTTTAAAAAGCAGAGATATATTGGAGATATAAAGTATAAGGAATACTTTAATAATATATAATTATAGTAATTATAATTGAAATGGCAACGTTCCTGTATCTGATTTGCACTTCTTCACTTATATCAGACCCAACTTTCTACTACAAGTAGTCCTTGACTTATGATCACAACTGAGCCCCAAATTTCTGTTGCTCAGCCTCAGAGAGATAATTGTTAAGAGAGTTTTGTTCCATTTTACGACCTTTCTTGCCAGTTGTTAAGTGAAATCACTGCCGTTCTTAAGTTAGTAACATGGCTGTGAAGTGAATCTGGCTTCCCCATTGACTGTGCTTGTCAGAAGATTGCCAAAGGGACCTTGAGCTTGTTTGGAGGTTCTAGCAGGGGAGCGCAGCTATCGTATACCCTTGACCGAAGATTGGTACACTCCTATCTGGGATGGTCATCCTCTTCCACTGAGCGCGCAGCTTCAGGAGGCACGCACATGGAGCGATGAGGGAGAAAGGGGACACCCGCCTAGCCAGCCAGATCAGCCGAATCAACCCTGGTGATCAATGGGGTGACAGGTGTCGCAGCCAGATCGCCCTCACAAATGGAAATTATAGACCAATATCTCTCCGAAATGTGGATTACAAAATTTTTGTAACTATAATATCTGATAGACTTTGAAAAAATTTAAATAAATTTATCCATACAGATCAGAATGGATTTCTTCCACATTGACATCTTAAAAATAATATAAAGACAATTCTGGACATTATCGAATATTATGAAGATCATAGTGGTGATCAGGTGGCATTATTGTTTTTAGACGCTAAGAATGCATTTGATAACGTAAAATGGAATTTTATTTTGCAACAAATTAGGTACATGGACTTTGGATAAAAAAAATTTAAACGTGATTTTGGCACTATATAATAAATAAGAAACTAAAATTTTGGTGAATGGGGAAATAACAAATAAATTTGAAATACAAAGAGGGACAAGGCAGGGATGTCCAATTTCCCCACTTTTGTTTATTTTGACTCTAGAAGTGTTAACGAGAATAATCAGAAAAGAAACAAAGATAAAAGGATTAAAAGTAAATTGCAAGCCTTTGCTGACGATTTAGTTTTTATTTTAGAAGATCCACAAATTTCAGGACCAAAACTCATAGAAAACTTAGAAGAATTTGGAAAAGTTGCAGGGCTAAAAATGAATAGGGAAAAAACAAAAATAATTACAAAAAATATGACAAATAAACAAAAGGAAACACTAACTAGGATAATGGGCATCCAGATAACAAATAAAGTAAAATACTTGGGGATTATGATTTCTGCAAGATGTACAATAGTTAAAGATGAGAATTATACCCCATTGATTAAACGAATAGCAAAAGATTTGGAAAAATGGGACAAATTAAGATTATCTTTTATCGGCGGAATAGCATTCATAAAAATGAATATATTACCAAAATTATTGTTTCGCTTCCAAAATGCCCCCATAAAATTAGAAAAAAAAATCTTTGATGATTTGGATAAATTAATATTGAAATTTATATGCCAAAAGAAAAAAAAAACTAGAATTAAATTAAAATTGCTGCAAGATACCACAGAAAGGGATGATTTTGGCTTGCCTGGTTGGGAAATGAATTACAGAGCTGCAATTCTGACATGGGTAAAAGATTGGATAAATCTCAAAAACAAAAGAATGTTGGCTTTAGAAGATTATAATTTACAGGTAGGATGGCACACTTTTCCATGGCAGGACAAACAAGAGGTTCATAGATATTTCCAAAGACACAAAATTAGGAAGATTTGTTAACCACATGGAACAAAATGAAACGACAAATATATGGCTATCCACATTGGAAGTTTTGATGTACCCACATTTGTTCCTCAAAGGGAAAATTATTACTTATGATGATATTATAAATAAGAGAGGAGAATTAAAATCGAGGCAAGACCTGAAAGACCAAGGAGTGGATATAGAATGGTGGGCTTACTTACAACTCCAATCGAGGTATGCAAAAGACATGAAAGAATGGGGAATTAGTAGGAGTAAAACATAATTGGATAAAGTTTTATTGGGAACAGATGAGAAATCGATGAAGAAAATGTATAAAATGTTATTGGAATGTAAACTAGAAGAAGAAAAAGTAAAAGAAACAATGTTGTCATGGATGAAAGACTTAGGGCATAGTATAAATTTAGATGAATGGCAAATCTTCTGGTATCAAAACAAAAAAATAACTTTGGCTACGTCGTTTAAAGAAAACTTATATAAAATGTTTTATAGATGGAATAATCCACCATCAAAATTGGCTAAAATGTACCCAAATCTATTCCCTATATGTGGGAAGTGTAATATGGAAAATGGAATGTATTGTCATCTATGGTGGAACTGTAAGAAAGCCCAAATGTTCTAGCAGAAAATCCAAAAATGGTTAGAAGAGACGTGTGAAATTAAAATAGAATATAAACCTGAACCTTTCTTGTTGGGAATTAATGTGGGAAAATACAAGAAAGATATAATATATTTAATAAATCCATGTAATCACAGCTGCAAGATTAGTTTATGCCCAAAAATGGAAACTCCAAAATAGAAATAATTAGGAAAATTTGGAATTGCACAGAAATTGATAAAATGACACAAGAATTAAAAAATAAGGATGATTCTGATTATTACAAGATATGGGGAAAGTTTTATCACTGGTTAGAATCTAGGAAGGATCAAAAAAATATAAAAATGATTAATGTTTGTGTATATAAACATTTATATACATTTTGTATATAAAATGTAAATATATATTATTCTTTATATGAATTAGTGATGTAAGAAAACTAGAGATATCAGGATGATTGCACCACATCCACCACGTGCACCATTGTTTTTAAATGTCTTTTTCTTTTTTGTGTGTGTTTGTTCAATAAAATTAAAAAATTAAAAAAAATATTCCCAAAGGGGATCACATGATCTCAAGACACGGCAACTATCATAAATGTCAGTCAGTTACCAAGTATCTGAATTTCAATCATGTGATCATGGGGATGCTGCAATGGTCAGAAGTGTGAACAACGGTCATAAGTCACTTTTTTCAGTGCTACTGTACCTTTGAATTGTCACTAAGTGAATGGTTGTAAATCAAGGACTACCTGAATAATGAAACAAACATCTATATCAGGGGTGTCCAACCTTGGCAACTTTAAGACTTGTGGACTTCAACTCCCAGAATTCCTCAGC